AACTCCCAGGGGACTAGAAACGGACCTCTTTCAGAAACCCCCCACCTCCTGGAGTTTGAAAAACTCCTGACACCCAGAGTTGCAGAACCTTCTGACCCTTCAAATCCTGGTCCCCCAGATTCCCAGAGTCCAGAATTTGGTTGTCTAGAGGATCCTGGGTGTTCTGTATTCTGGTGTTCTTGACAGTCTGATGACTAGATTGCTCGCCTCTTGCTCTCGCTCTGTCCCTGTCCTCCCCCTGCAACCCTTTCCTGGCCCCTGGGGAATGGAGGACATGAGTGGGGCTTAGGAGCCAGCCTTGCTGGAGACCTCTGAGGGGCGATCCGGGAAGTTGCTGGCCAGCCTGGGGCTCTGAGTGATGGCAGCTCGCCTTCCCTCCGCAGGCAGCAGCAGTCGGAGCTCATGGAGCGGGAACGCAGGGTCTCCAACGCAGGTGATTGCTCGAATGGCCTTGGGGCTCGGGTGACCACCCCAGAGGAGGGGGTGGGCCAGCCGGACAACAGAGAATAAGGCTTCTCTCTCAGCACCTCTCCTTTTTTGTGTTTCTTACAGGAGGCCCAGCTGCTCCCACAGCTGGGGGACCACCCCCGCCTCCAGGACCTCCCCCTCCTCCGGGTCCCCCCCCACCCCCTGGTCTCTCCTCCTCGGGGATCTCGGCTGGGGGGCATGGAGCAGGGGGAGGCCCACCCCCTGCGCCCCCTCTCCCCACAGCACAAGGCCCCAGTGGTGGAGGGACTGGGGCCCCCGGCCTGGCCGCAGCCATTGCCGGAGCCAAACTCAGGAAAGTCAGCAAGGTGAGGGGGGCAGGCAAAGCGGGTGTGGGTTGACGGGGCCTGATATTATAATGGGATGAGGCCAGAGTTTCCTGGGAGCCTCACAGGAGGGCTGGAAGGCCAGGAGGCCCGCCTATAAACCCCCACCCCTTTGTAATTTCTCCAGCAGGAGGAGGCCTCAGGGGGGCCCTTGGCCCCCAAAGTTGAGAGCAGTCGAAGCACGGGCGGGGGGCTCATGGAAGAGATGAATGCCATGCTGGCCCGGAGGTGAGCCTGAGCCTGGAGCCCTTAATAGCCGCAGAAAGCCCTTGGAACACACCCCTCAGACCAGCAGTTATCACCTGGAGATTCCTGTTCAGTAGGGCCGGGTGCGGGGGAGGGCTCAGATTCTCAGTTAGTTGGTTTCTTTGGGTGAAAGTTCGCCCTTTGATAGCCAGGTTTGGGATATAATGATGGGGATTGCATTCTCCTGAGATGGCTGAGGTTTGCAACCACCCAGGTAGCCTCTGGAATGTTCTAAACCCCAGAATTCCAGGACCTTAGGAGATCCTGCCTCAGAACCTGGGAACTCCGCCCTTAGAATTGTGTTACTCCCAAACCTGGGAATCGGAGAGCCCCACCCCAGTTCGAGAGCAGTACTCTCTTTAACTTCTAAAACTAAAATTTTCTTAGCCCTGACAAATTCCAGAAGTCTGCACGCTAGAATCCACCTTCCTAGAGCTCCGGGGAAGGGAATTGTTGAGTGGCTGAGGGAGGGCTGAAGCCATCTGTTTTTGCCCTTCTCTCTTACAGAAGGAAAGCCACACAAGTTGGGGAGAAAACCGCCAAGGATGAATCTGCCAATGTGGGTCAGGGGCTCTTCCTGCCATATACCCCTTAGGATGTACCGTTTGTGTAGGAATATCGGGGAGGGGGCTGTGACAGGAATGGGCTAGGTTTGAAGGTGGAGGAGGAAAATGAGCAGAGGTGCGGCGTCGGGGTGGGGGGCTGGCTCATGACAGTTTCTTTTTTTTTTTAATTTATTAAATTTATTTATGTTTGGCTGCATTGGGTCTTCGTTGCTGCGCGCGGGCTTTCTCTAGTTGTGCTGAGCGGGGGCTACTCTTGGTTGCGGTGTGCAGGCTTCTCATTGCCGTGGCTTCTCTTGTTGTGGAGAACGGGCTCTAGGCGCGCGGGCTTCAGTAGTTGTGGGTCATGGGCTCAGTAGCTGTGGCTCGCGGGCTCTAGAGTGCAGGCTCAGTAGTTGGGGCACACTGGCCTAGTTGCTCCGTGGCACGTGGGATCTTCCCGGACCAGGGCTCAAACCCGTGTCCCCTGCATTGGCAGGTGGATTCTTAACCACTGCGCCACCAGGGAAGCCCTTGGCTCATGACAGTTTTATTTCCCACCAGCAGGAGGAGCCAGAGGCCAGAGTCCCAGCCCACAGTGGTGAGTGAGAGCCCAGTCTAGTCACAGGAACTACAAGTCCCAGGATGCCCGCTTCTCACATATAACACACGTCGATGGGAGAGTCTGTACAAACAGTGCTGGGGATTGTAGTCTCCTGAGATGGTTCTTTGAACAGGGGCTGATGAGGCTGGGGAGAAAGATTGAGGCAGGGCATTCCTTGTCCCTGATCTTTTTGATTTATTGCCTGTCCCCTAGAATCTGTGCGGAGACCCTGGGAGAAGAACAGCACAACCTTGCCAAGGTGGGCCATCAATACTGGGGCCCCACCCCGCAAAATAGTTGAATTTGCCAAATTTGTAGGGAGGAACACTGTGTGACCCCTGGAATGGGAGGCAGGGGAGGCAGACCCTCTCTCTAACCTCATTTCCACCCCAAACCACACCAACTCTCCCAGGATGAAGTCATCTTCTTCAGTGACCACTTCCGAGGCCCAACCCTCTACGCCCAGCTCCAGTGATGAGTCAGACCTGGAAAGGGTGAAACAGGTAGCTTGGGGAAAGGACTGGGAGTGAGGTCCGGGGGATAGAAAGGAGATCTGGGTCCAGACTCTGCCACTGACCTGCCATGTGATTCTAGAAAAGGCCTTGGGAACCTCAGTTTTCCAGTCTGAGAAATGGAGAGAGATTGGATCATGTCAGGGATGACACAGACACCATAACCACCTTACCCAGTGCCCATGACAAACCTTACTAATCTTATCACTGGACTCACTTCTGTTGAGTACCCAGAATCCTTTTCAGTACACTGGCCCCAGACATTTATCACCAATTGGAGGTGGCAGGAGACTGCAATGTATTTGCCAGCCTTGGTACTGGATGTTCTCCAGTACTTTCCTTCTGGCTCCAAGGATCCAGAATTCTCCCCTAGAATTCTCACTTTGTGGCCTTGCCAGTGATGTCGTGGTGTGTGTGTAATAGGGGTCTTGAACCTCCTCCTTCTGGCCCCTCAGTCATTAAGAAAGGGGGGATTCACTTTTGCAAGTCCAAGTACCCTTCCTGATTGGTACCCCATCATTTTCAGGAGCTTCTGGAAGAGGTGAGGAAGGAACTGCAGAAAATGAAAGAGGAAATAATTGAAGGTGAGGTGGTTTTTTATTTTAAACATTTATTTATTTTGGAGGCATCATGTCCCTTGGAAAGCCCTGTTTTGGAAGGGAAGGGGGAAGAAGCTGTGCCCCTGACCTCTGCCCAGTTTCCTTCCAGCCTTTGTCCAGGAGCTGAGGAAGCGGGGCTCTCCCTGACCACAGGGCCCCAGAAGATCCAGTTTCTCCTTTCCGCACACGCCCTCCGCCTGTCACCCTGCTTTCCCTGCCTCAACTTGACTTGGAATTGGCTGAAGACTACACAGGAATGCGTCTTCCCTACTCCCTATCTCACTTGGAAAATTCCAAGGGGGTGTGGCTTCCCTGGCACCATGCCCACACCCATACTGGCTGCTGATTGGCTGGGGAGGCCCCCACCCTTTGCTCCCTTTGGTCCTTCCCCTCTGCCATCCTCTTGGGGCTGGTTCCTCTGCTGGGGATGTACCAATTAACCCCACAGTAAGGGGGAAGGAAGGAGGGAATCTCACATTCCCTTGTTCTAGATTCACTTTAACGCTTAATGCCTTTGAAGTTTTGTTTTTTAAGAAAAAAAAGTATATATATATATTTAGGTTTGGGGGGGAGGAAATGTTTTTTCTCTTTGGTTTTGATAAAATGGGATGTGGGGAGTTTTTAAATGCTGTGCCCCTGGCTTGTCCCACTTGGGACAGCTATTTAAGGGGGGTTGTCCCATCAGGCTGGGGGCAGCTCCCCCCACCCCAGGGACCTCCCTTCCCTCTGGCTCCTTCCCCTTTTCTATGAGGAATTAAGATGCTGTAACTTTTTAGAACCTCAGTTTTTTGGTTTTTTATTTCGGTAGGTTTTGGGGTCCAGGCCATTTTTACCCCCTGGGGAAAAAAAGATGAGGGGGAAAGGAAAAGGGGAGGAAACCTCCCCTCTCCCACCTTCACCTTTAGCTTCTTGAAAATGGGCCCCTGTGGAATAAATCTGCCAGTTTTTATAAATGCTAAGATTTCTGGAGTGATTTGAAGGGCTGCTCTCATGAGGATGGGGGCGTGTCCCTTCCTCCCCCAGTAATCTGCCTTCCCCTCACCTTCCTTCTTCCCACCCGAACCTGCCCTCAGACTCCTGCAGCTAGGGTGGCCTCTGGCCCCTCTCGGCCTTCCTGCCTCCCTTCCTCTCTGTGCCCCTCACCAGGCAGCTTCCTCACTCCTTCCCACCCTGCCCCAACCGCTTCACCACCCTAGAGAAAGCCAGGGGCAGTCCCTCATTGACCGCGTGCCCTTGGACAAGACCCTTTGCTTCCCCTGGGCCTCAGTTTCCCCATCTGGGAAAGGGCTCAAAGGATGACACTGGCCCCTTCCCACCAGATCCCTCCCAGCCTCTAATTTTAGTGAGCCTGCCACCCATTTTGCAGAGGTACATCGTGGTTCTCAGACACATTCTCAAGATGACTTTCCCCCAGAGCTCCTTAAATTATACAACATTTACAGTCTAAAAAAAAATAGAATTCAGAAATAACAGAGCTCATAACACATCCCCTTTAATGGTTCAATGGGTTGGCAGGGGATAGGTGAGGTAGGTAACACTTAACACTACCTGGTGGAATTATTCCATTTGGTTGGAGGTGGTGAACTTCAGGGCTGAGGGGGCAGGTGGAGGAAGCCTTTGCATGAAGGACGGGGGTGGACACTGGGTGTCCAGTTCAAAGGCAAGAAGTAAGGGGGAATCCCTGAGTACTCTGAAGAGGAGATTTGGATGGAGGAAAGGGTGGAGGGATCTGTTGGAATGATCCACTTAAAGAGGGGAGGACCCCAGTCAAGGCACCAGTGGTGGACTAGAAGAGCCACAGGGAGACCCACTGGAGCTAATGCCCACCAAGATCCATCCTACTCCCTGCCCCCCCGGAAGAGTGAGGTAGATGGAAGGTCAAGGGGTAGGGAAGTCCATCAGAGGTTTCTATATTTTCACTACAATGGTCGGTACCAGTGAAGAAGTGGGATGAGGTGTCCTGGTGTAATGGATGAGGGTCCCAGGGAAAGGACCACTCCTCAGGTAAGTTGGAGGTATGAGTGACAAAATTAAATGGTCCATGTGCCCTGCTGGCCCTCCTGTTGGTGCGTGGGTGGGGTCCAGTGGAAGACACTGCTTTTCCATTCCAAAGTGCTAAACCAGTGGATGCGGTGGGGCGATGGGGGTCGGGCTGGAACGTTCCACCGGTGGATGGGGGTGTCCCAGTGGAAGGTACTCCTCACTGGGCAGGTTAGTAGGGAGGTGACCAGAAGCCTGGTTGGATCAGCCCCAGTCCAAGATCCCTTCTGACTCTAAAGGGACCTGGTGCTATTAGCTGGGCCGGTTCAGGAAGGGACAGTGGGGACAGACATGGCAGCCCAGGCATCAGTCACGTCTGAGACCAGGGCCCTGCGGCCCCCTACTCCTCGGGCGTGGGCTCTGCCTGGGGCGCGGGCGGCGGGTCCAGGGCGCAGAGCTGGGCGCGCAACTCTTGCATCTGTGCCTGCAGCTCCTCCAGGGCGCCCCGCGGCGGCGCCGCCTGTACCTGCGCCTGCAGGGCCTCCAACGCCAGCGCCAGGCGGCCCCCCTCGTCCCGCATCGCGTCCCAGGCGGCGCGCTGCTCCCCCTCCTTGCGACGCTGATACGCCTGGTGGCGCCAGTACTCCAGCACCAGGCAGCCGCCGCCCACGATGAAGACGGTGGCCTCGCCCAGCAGCTCGGCGCCCAGCTCGGCGGCCGCCGCCTCGTTCAGCGGCTTGACGGCTTCAGCATTGAAGCCCATGAGGCTCATCTTGGCTCGCATCTCGGCCCAGTGGTACACTGCGGGGGAAGACAGGGGTCAGGGATCTTTGCTGGGAATGCAAGCCCCGCCCCTCGACGCCTCGGTGTCCGGGTCGGAGCAATGGCGACACGGCAGCCAGAATCGCGGGCGCCAGCGGGGAATGGGCCCCTTAACCAAGACCCGCGCCGGGCCTCGCACGCGGAATGCCCAGTTAGTTATCTGGCCAGGGGTGGCCCTGACGGCATCTTTTGGAAACGTCCAGAAGATTCTGGTGATCGGCTGAGAATTGCTGCCCTGGAGGGGAGGTCCAGAGTGGAGGCCGCAATCTCTAGGAGGGGGTGGGAGCGGTCAGAAGTCCAGGGCGGGTGTAAAGCTTGCTCCTTCTGCCCCTCCCACAGCCCACCTGCCAGGCTCCTTCCCTCTCCCCAAAGGTGGGGCCGACGGTGCTGCGCTCCGTCCTGACGTGTGTTCACTGTGGGGTGTGGGGCTTTGGACGGAGCTCAGGGCTGCAGCGCCTGCTCCAACGCCAACTCCTTCCTTCTCTAATCACTTACTCGTGTGAACAAGGATTATCAGCGTTGTGGTCACTTGTAAATGCAACATAAGCCTAGAGTTGATGTTGAAACCTGATTCACTGCAGTAATCATTAATATTCATCCACTGATACATGAATTGATGGGAAAAATAAGGTTCCTTGGGCTCATTAAGGGATGAATTTCTGAAAACATTTATACTTGACCCCTTCCAACCATCCTCCACAGCAACCAGGCTGACCTAATTAGGTTTTCTTCCTTTAAGTTAGAAGAATAACATGCACATGGGGGGAATCATTTAGACTACATAGAAGGGGGTAAATTGCAAGACAGAAGTCCATCTTTCCACCTCCAGCTTTAGTTCTCCTATTCCTCAAAGGAATAGGAGGACTATTTTTTGGGGGCTGCACAGCGTGGCTTGTGGGATCTCAATTCCCACACCAGGGATTGAACCCCGGCCACAGCATGGAAAGCCTGGAATCCTAACCACTAAGAGGTTAACCACTTCTATTGGCAGACCAGCCAATAGAGAAGGACTTGAATCACCTAAGAGGATAAAATCTAAATGGCCACTAGACATGTGAAAAGATGCGGTCTTTTCATTACATGTCAGGAAAATATTAATTAAAATCACAAAGAGAAAGCACTCTACACACACCAGAATGGCTGAAATGAAACACCCACACATCCTAAGTGCTGCCAAAGATGTATCACACTCAGACTCGGAGGAGGTAATTGAGGACACCCACTCTGGCAGCTGGTTGGCAGTGACTCCTAAATTTAGCATTCAGTGCTCTATGAGCCAGCAATTCCGCTCCTGGGTGGACACCCACAGAAACCTGTCACATGTTCTCTGAAAGACATGTCCCTGCATGTTCACCTCAGTGCTATGAAAAAAAAGACTCTAGACCACCCAAATGCCCACCATAGAAGGATTGGTAAAAAAGGATGCACACAGTGAAACACTCAACAGCAATGAGAACAAATGAACCACAGCGACATACAAAAAGCTGAATAAATCTCACAGACAATGTTGAGTGAAAGAGGCCACACAAGCATACATGCTGTGTGATTCCATTTATATAAAGTCCCCAAAGAGGCAAATTCAATCCACAGGGTTACAAGTCAGGATGGTGGTTACCCTTGGGAGGCATAGTGACTAGAAGGGGGGCATGGTAGGGTTTCTGGGGGGCTGGTTATATTCTGTTTCCTGTTCTTTCTGTGAGTTTATCAAACTATATGAGTTTATCAAACTATACACTTAGGATTTGTACACTTTGCTTTAGGTATACTGTAATGCAGTTAAAAGTTTTCATAACCCAGGGCTTCCCTGGTGGTGCAGTGGTTAAGCATCCGCCTGCCAACGCAGTGGACACGGGTTCGAGCCCTGGTCCGGGAAGATCCCACATGCCGCGCAGCAACTAAGCCCGAGCGTCACAACTACTGAGCCTGTGCCCTAGAGCACATGCTCTGCAACAAAAGAAGCCACCACAATGAGAAGCCCGCGCACCGCAACGAAGAATACCCCCTGCTCGCCGCAACTAGAGAAAGCCCGCACGCAGCAACAAAGACCCAACACAGCCAAAAAAAAAAAGTTTTCATGACCCAAATGAACGAGAGTTGTCCAGCCACCTTCCTGATCTCTTCCAAGTGACTTTCACTTGCAGCCTCTGGTGAGGCCCAGAGAAATGCCACTGTCTGGTGCCACGCCCTTGGTCAGTCTGTTTCCTCCCTGTTGCCCATGGGCAGCCAGACTTGGCCTTGGCCACCTGTCAGATGAGCCTGAGACATCTAACTTCAAGGTGTCCTGACTGCCTATTTAACACTCTTCCTGTTGGGAAAGTACACTGGCCCCTCCCAAAAGGAGCCCCAGTCTTATGATGTTCCCCAGGCTCCTGCCTGGGTGCAGGAAGCAGGGTCGTGATGGAACCTTGAACTCTCTATTCTCCCTGAGGGTCTGTTAAAAGGCAAAATGGATTCAGAATCCAGGACTGAGAAAGTCCAGGCCCCCACTCAAAATGGGAGGGGGACGGGCACGATTATGGCCTGTGTTAAAGGGACTCAAAGACATGATGACAGCCCATTCCTTTCTTTTTTTAATTTTTTAAAAATGTATATATATTTTTTGGCTGCGCTGGGGGGCCTGCGAGATCTTGGTTCCCCAACCAGGGATTGAACCCACGCCACCTGCAGTGGAAGCGTGGAGTCTAAACCAATGGACGGTCAGGGAATTCCTCACATTCCTTTTTGTTTAAAAACCAAAATTTGAATCCATCTGTCAATGACCTCCGTAAATCTAGACAGTGTCTTAAAGGTAAAGGCTCAAAAGGGAAGCTCAGCCTGAAATTGAGGAGGATTTTATGTCACAACCTAGAAATGAAGCTATGCTTGCCGAGCACAGTGGTTAAAACAAAACAAAGCAAAAATGGTGAAATTACTCGTTTGCTTCCCTAGCAGTGTCTTACATCCCCAGGCATGCTTTTGCCAGCTTACCAACACTTCTGAAATATTTCGCTACTAATCAATCTCACGATTTGCAAAGGAAAAAATTAAAAGAACGAATGAGTTTTATATACTTCAACACAGAAAAATCTCCCAAACATAACGAGAAGGAATACTAGGTCCAAAAGATACAAACAGCGTGATAAAAACAAGAACGTGCGCTATGGACACACATATATATTCAGGAAAAGTATAAAGTCTCACAGGGACTAATACTCAGCAACTTCAGGACAGATGAAGGAGGAAGGAGTGAGAACGGGGTGAGGCTTTTTAGCTTTAGTCCCTAAACAAGGGAATAAAACTCAAAGCAAATAGGGCAAAGTGTTAATATCTATTAATTCTAAGGGGTAGGTCCATGGGTGTTTGTTATAGTATTTCCTCTATGTCTGCAATATTTCACAATTAAAAGGAAAAAATTAGTTCAAAAAGAATAACAATTATATTTTTTGGTCATTTGGAGAAAAAAGGATTTTGATGAATGCACAGTGATAGAAATCAGGTCAGTGCTTCCCTGAGGTCAGGTATGGCGGGAGAGATGGACTGCAAGGGAACACAAGGAAATTTGGGGGGTGAAGGAAATATTTTTAACTATGGTGGTGGTTTCATGGCAAATACCTGTGATAAAACCCATCAAAGTGAACCCTTAAAATAAGTACAGTTTATTGCATGTAAGTCATACCTCAAAAAAAGTTGTTAAATAAAAAGGAATTTTATAAGATTAAGAAAGTGAGAAGCCACAGACTAGGAGAAAATATTTGCAAATCATATATCTGATAAAGGACTTGTTGCAGAACATATAAAGAGCTCTTAAAACTCAACAATAGGGGCTTCCCTCGTGGTGCAGTGGTTGAGAGTCCGCCTGCCGATGCAGGGGACACGGGTTTGTGCCCCGGTCTGGGAAGATCCCACATGCCGCGGAGCGGCTGGGTCCGTGAGCCATGGCCGCTGAGCCTGTGCGTCCGGAGGCTGTGCTCTGCAACGGGAGAGGCCACAACAGTGAGAGGCCAGCGTATCGCAAAAACAAACAACAACAAAAAAACCCTCAACAATAGCTGGGAATTCCCTGGCAGTCCAGTAGTTAGGACTCGGTGCTTCCACTGCAGGGGGACCCGGTTCAATCCTTGGTCGGGGAACTAAGATTCCCACAAGCCACATGGCGTAGCCAAAAAAAAAAAAAAAAGTCAGCAGAGAAATACCGATCAAAACCACAATGAGATTCCATTTCACACCCACTAGAATAATTGTATTCAAAACAACGGCCAAAAAAAAAAAAAAAAAAAAACAACGGCCAGTAGCACACAACAGCCAAAAAGGGGAAACAACCCCAAAGTCCATCAATTTGTGAATGGATAACAAAATCTGGTATATTTATACAGTGGAGTATTATTAATACATAAAAAGGAATCAAGTACTGATACATGTTACGACAGGGACGAATCTTGAAAACGTTATGCGCAGTGAAGGAAGCCAGACACAGAAGGCCACGTAGTGTATGATTCTTTTCTATGAAATGTCCAGAATAGGTAAATTCACAGAGACAGAAAGCAGGTTAGTGTTTGCCAGGGGCTGGGGGAGGGGAGGATGGGGAGAGAACTGCTAATGGACTTGAGGGATCTTTTCAGTGATGGAAATGTTCTAAAGTGACTGTGGTAACAATTGCACGACTATGTAAATTTACTAAAAATAAACTGTCCACTCAAGACAGGTGAATTTTATGGCATGTAGATTATACCTCAATAAAGCTGTTTAAACAAACAAACAAGCAAAAAGTAGAGTCTCTCCCGCTGAAATTAGCAAATGCTGCCGTGCAGATGCGCGGGCTTCTCATTGCGGTGGCTTCTCTTGTTGCAGAGCACAGGCTCTAGGCATGTGGGCTTCAGTAGTTGTGGCACATGGGCCCTAGAGCACCTGCTCAGTAGCTGTGGCGCAAGGGCTTAGTTGCTCCACGGCCTGCGGGATCTTCCCAGACCAGGGCTCGAACCCGTGTCTCCTGAATTGGCAGG